GGACTCCTGGGTTCTAGATGGGGGGGCAGGGTCTGGGAGCCCGGACTCCTGGGTTCTATCCATTTCTGGGAGGGGAGTAGGACCGGACTAGGTGTCTGGGCTGCTCTGGTTCTGTCCCAATGAGGGGAGGGAGGAACCTGCCTGAGCCAGGACTCCTGGCTTCTATTCCTAGCTGTGACCTTGGATGAGATCAGCCCTTCCCTGCCTGACCCCTGCAGTCAGTGTCCTTACCGGGGCGGGGAGCGGGCCATAACCAAAATGCCCCTGCCCCACGCAGGGTGAAATGCCGGGAGGGGCTAGCTTCTGGCATCTAGGGAACTGATACAACTGCCAGACTCCCGCTGTGAATTCCCCCCACCCTGCAGTGGCACTTAGAGGCCGGGGCGAGGGGCAGATTAGACTTGCCTGGGATGAGACCACCAGTTCCTCCTGCTCTAGGAGATCCATGGCCGTTTGCAGCCTTGCAGGGTAACAACTTCCTTCCCTAGTGCTAGGCCAGGTTCCCCTGCATGGACCTCTGAGCCACCCAGCCTCTGCTCCCGTTCCTCTGGGACCTTGGTGGTGGCTCCATGCAGCCAGGCCCCAAGGTGGTTCTGGGCCCCTACCTCAGCCGCCTTCTTGCATCAGTTGGCCCAGAAGCGCAGCGCGGGATGGCTGACGAAAGCCCTTGGAGTTTCTCTGGGGGTTACCGTGCAAGCACTGCTCTGAAATGCTGTCTTAACTGGCCAGGGAACCCCCCCGGGGAGGGCCAGGAGCCCCTGTGGGGGCACTGGAAGGAGATTGGGGATCTTGCCTTACAACAAGCAAGATGCTGAGATACCACGGGGACGAGCACAGGGTTAGAGGCGGCAGCTCCTCTCCCCCGGCTCCCAGGCCAGCTCGGCCCGAGGCTGCAGGGCTTTGTTCTATGAGCAAGAGAATCCAGTTCCTCTTGGCCTTTGATCCCAGCCGCACAGCCCAGGCTCAGGGTGGCTTTCAGCAGCACCACCTCTGATGTCTGCGCTTCTAGCACTTGGGAGGAGATCCTGCCTCTTCCCCCAGCAGCCGGCTGGGAGAGGGCCACAGCGAGGCTTGCGGGCGGGTTGGCTCATTGCTTGGAACTTCCCGAACATCATAGGCTAAAAATAGCCAGTGGCTGGAGCAGGCAGCGGTTCCCGGCGGGGAGGGGTCGTGGGGTCACACCGGGCTGGAGCAGGCAGCGGTTCCCGGCGGGGCGGGGTCGTGGGGTCACA